GGAACACCCTCCCGAAGTTTGGTCCACTCCTCCTGGGACACCCTATTATGCCGTGGTGACAGGGGGCGTGGAGGTACCCCTCCTTGCCACCACATCTTACGCTGCAAGGGGTTAACACAGTAATCCTCGATTACCCTCGGCTAGGATTCTCCTGGTTCTGGACTTCCTTCGTTACATAAAGCTGCCACCATCTTATTATATCTTGAAAGGGGTGATGAAAGTACTAAGGGCCGGTAGCGCGGTGGTCGAGCGTTCTCTGTTGGCTGGCCCTTTCATCACTGTCACACCTTATTATTAGCGGGCGTGTCGGGTCTGACCCGCCTCTACCTATCGACTGTCACATCCTATATTATCCTCTACGACAGGGGTGGATAGGATATCTCACCACTGTCGCCAATTATGTCTTAGTGACGGGGGTGGGTGGAGGTCGCCTGCCACTGTTACCACTTATTACGTCTTAAGGGGGGTGTTGATATAAAGGCTACTAAGCACTCCGGCGTGGCAGGTGAGCTTCCTATCCCTGTCCATTTCTAGTCCCTCACCCTTAACTGTCGTTGCATTCGGTGGCTGTTGCCTGCCTGGGTCAGTTCTGTCTTCGTTTTGGTAGGATCCTCAGGATCGGTCGGGGACAGGTTGGTTCGGGGAAGTAAATCACAATCCCGATACATCCTACTCTAATTACCCTGTCTATTTACACTTATTTACAATGGTATTTACAGTATGAACACTGCCGACCTTCAGTCGGGACTACATAGTGTCTTTACTTTCATGCTATGCTTCCTCACGTTCTCCCCTTCGGGGGTGTAGGACTTGAGCCTCTCTCTCTCTCTCTCTCTCTCTCTCTCTCTGTTTCGAGGATATGCAAGTATTCATCGTTCAATGTGATCCTCTTTCCTTACTACTCATTACACACTACTACACTATCCTATCGTAAAGTTTCACCCTTAAAATATTTTACCCCTAAAGTTATGCCTACTAAAAGCCTACATATATTTATCACAAAATCCATGGTCGCCACTATGAAGAACAAATATGCGTGCTCCGCATACTACCAGTAATCATAATACACTATAACGACAACCATGTTTACCACACTAGTACCTCAGTCATCACTCGTTTCATTATTTTTCTTGTTCTACCCTAAGGGCTCACTTGGCACACTGGAGTTTGCTTTCAACATTTTACCATAACACTTTTATCAACAATAATGTTTAACAGCATGGCTTATATGATTAAAGAAACTTACTTGCGATAAGAGACGCAGGCCAGATTCCACCACTCGTAAGACCCATCTCAAATAGAGCCTCCGGCTGACAACTGGTTATTACGTTTTAGATCAGATCCTCCTTAAGTTTTTTCTCATTTTTATATGCTAATTTTGCTAGCACTGCAGTTGGCGAAAGAGGGAGGTTAACTACTCCCTTTGTTCTAAATTTCGGGGTGGAGGGTTTCCATTGGCTACCCCTACGGTAGTGGGCAGGTCTGTGGTACCTCCTTGCTGTGTATTTGATAATATTATTATACTCCAGTGGCCCAGTTAGTGAAGCTTCTTATTTATGCGATTACGCATAAATGCTGATCATCAACATTCTTAACCTAGATCTCTAGTCCATGTGTTGTCATCTTTGCTCGATTGCTGTAAAACGTTTTTCGCAAGTCTCGAACATTTAGGCAATGCATTTTGATTTCTAGTCTCAAAATTGCGGCGCAACTCACCCTGTATAAATTACTGCCTATGGCATGCCTGTCAGACTCATGTATGCCCCTTGGATCAGTTTTGTAATCTGATCTCACAGCCTAGGCTGCATCATCAAAAGAAGGGGACAAGGGTTTGTTGAACTATGATAAGAACTACTTAAGCGAGCACTAGTCAGTTTAAACTGATAATTTGTACTATATTCAGTTATTCATGTGTATTGTTTATGCTTGAAATAATTCTTTAACCTTTGCAATAACAACCATGGCAGAGGGACTTACATATATATAATATTTTGAAGTTTGTAACTGAAATTATGCCAACCCCCCACCCTGACAGAAAAACTTTGTCCTCCTAAGTTAAGGGGGTTGGGTAAAGGCTAAATACCTACAATTGTAGAGGCATATCCCTTTTAAATGTCACCTACAAGATTTTCACCACCATCCTGGCCAAGTACCTTGAACCCCTTTGCTGAGAACATACTAGGTGAATACCAGTGTGGCTTCTGCAAAGGACGTTACACAACTGATCACATGTAGTTACTATAGGATTCTGATGATGGTGTATAACACACAGAGATATTGGGTTTTCGGACTTTATCCATCGTCCTGGTTTTTAAGATAACTAAGAAAAACAGGACGTGAGCTAGCCTCAATGCAGTGATTGAGGCTAACTCTTTCTAAGGGACCCAACAGAATAGGTGTTTTCCCTCATTTGAGGATGGAAACAGATCCAGTTTCTGAAACGTCGCGTTTTTCTTAGTTATCTTAAAAACCAGGACGATGGATAAAGTCTGAAAACCCAATATCTCTGAACTGATCACATCTTCACAATTTGGCAAGTCCTGGGAAAATGTTACGAGCAAAATCACCAGCTCTATATAGACTTTAGATAAGCTTGCAATAGTATTCATAGAAATTTTATTTATGAAGCTATGGCCAAATTCTGAAGTCTGTCTAAACTAATTATTCACTAAAATGACCTCTGAAAAAAAAACAATGTTAAAATTCAAAACAAACTCTCAGAGAGCTTCATGATTAAACAGGTGTGAGATGGGGAAACTTCCTCTCCACTGTCCTTTTTAACAACACCTTGGAAAAAGTTCTCAGAGATATACATGCAAAACCAGATGGCACAATTTTCAATAGAATATGGCAGATACTGGCATATGCAATGATATAGCAATCCTCATCTGTAATACAAAATCTTTAAATGAAGTCCTTGAACAAATGCAGGCAACATCATCATTAATAATGAGAAAACCAAGTACATGTAAGGTTGTGAAGGAGAGGAATGGTGATAAATCGCACTGCAATAGATGAGAAAGGCTGTAGTGAGGTCTCATCTCTCAAATACTTTGGGTCTCTAATAACAGGTTTATTATTATTATTATTATTATTATTATTATTATTATTATTATTATTAATTTCATCCATAGCTGTAGAGAATTACAATTGGACATGTCAAATATCAACAACCTCACATCAAAAATAACATAACATTCACACTGTGATTCATCACTCTAATACAGCAATACATCTCAAAATATATTTTTAACTTAATTTAATAATAATAAATACTCCAAAAAAAGACATATGAATAAATAATTTAAACATATAGACAGATTTACTGACAAGCAGTTTACGTCAACAATGTAGCAATGACTCGGTTGTAGATATAAAGGAACAAACTGCTGTAGGCAACAAATGATTCCATGCCCTTGGAAGTGTCCTCAGAGAATGATATATATCATGGAAAATCAAAACAAATATATATAAAATAATTATTCCACATGCTGTCCTTCTTGGTAGTGAAACCTGGGCACTTACAGAGAAATCAATAGTAACTCTCATGTCCTGGGAAAGGAAAATTTTATGAAGGATATATGGCCCTGTATGTGTAAATGGTACATGGAGAATAACATCTAATAGGGAAAGTCTCTGTAATAGACCGCACATTGTGGCTGAGATCAAATTTAGAAGAATTGAGTGGCTAGGACATGTTCTGAGAATGGAGAGCAACAGGGTATGACAAAAAGTCAGGGAAGGCAGACCTGTGGGGGGAAAGAGCACTGAGAGACCAAGAATAATATGGCTGGATGATGATGTGAATGATTTAAGAAATATGGGAGTACAGCAATGAAGAAAGAAGGCTGCAGATAGCAGAGAATGGGCAGGAATAGTGAGGGAGGCAAAGGTGAAACTTAGAAGGACCATACAGCCAAAGAAGAGGAAGAGGAGGAGGAGGAGGAAGAAGAAGAAGAGGAGGAGGATGAAGAAATATACATAAATGCCCACAATTTTTGGCAAATCTAACAAACATCTAATGTTTCAAGGTAGAAGCTGCACAAGATGATGATGTCCCAAAACTTGTGAGGGCTGTGGATGGGTGACAAAGCAGATTGTAGGGAAATGTTTATTACTTACGGTATTTTTTTTGCATCAAGGACTAGATGCACCCTCTGCGAGTAGGGGTCAAACCTCATACTGTATAGTCTTAACTTCCCTTTCGACAAGGGCGGCATCCTGGATCCTGCAAAAATATTCAAATCAGACATAACAGTAATCAATACCTCTTTTAAACATCTCCTTGGTGGGCCATATGCAGTGCACGTACCACCATTTGTCAATATATATGTGGAGAATCTCTATTTTGTGCTTCTGAGGCATCTGAGGTCAGCCGCCGGTCTCTTCTCAGGACTTTCACTCCGTGACGTCACGGCAAAAGACAACAAAGGAAGTTTAAGGCCACGTAGGCCAGAACAGTGAGTGACGATGGGAAATTGCTTAGCGACATTGTATCAACTATGTTTGTTGTTTGGTGCGAATTAAGTGAACAATGCCGATTTGATACAGCACTTACCGAATTTCGAACCATACGCTGACTTGTGACTAATTCGCGTTCTGTGTAAATGCATTGTAGGAGACGTATTGTTAACACCGTAGGTTTGATGCCGTCATGGACATAGATGTTTTCTACCATGTAGAAAGCACGTGTATATGGAGGCTGAAAGAATCTGAGGGCTACAAACGATAATATTATATTGCAGCATCTTGTTGCCCTGGTTAACGTTCTCTTGGGTTGCAGTCATGGAATGCCGGAAAACACAGTGTATCAATGAAAAAGAAATAAGTTTTAAGCAATTTTAATAAATCCAACATTAACTGGAACTAGTTTTAACCAAGTTTTGGAACAGTGAACTAGAAGACGCAATACAGTGCGTCAATGACCTTATGCGGTAGAAACACGTAATAATAAGATTTACAGAAAACGCAGAACACCAACGGCCTACGAATGCGAGAAGTTACACCTTCAAGATTACTTACTTACTCATGGAGCTGAGCCCATTTGAGGAGCCGCCAATTCTGCAGCTACTCAAGAATTTCCCAGCATTTTATGGAACGCGAAGGTTCATCACCGTGTTCACAAGAGCCCTCCACTGGTCCCTATCCTGAGCCAGATCCATCCAATCCATACCATCCCATCTTATCTCTCCAAGATCCATTCTAATATTGTCCACCCACCTACGCCTTGGTCTTCCCTGTGGTCTCTTTCCTTCTGGCTTTCCCACCAATATCCTATACGCATTCGTCGTCTCCCCCATTCGTGCTACATGACCTGCCCACCTCATCCTCCTTGACTTGATCATTCTAAGTATACTTGGAGAAGAATACAAGTTATGAACCGAGGCTTTGTGTTCATTTTCGTAACATACTGACTTTTTACGGTAAGGAGTTGTTAGCCCCACGCCCAACCTCCAAGCTGGAGGGCCAACCCTTGTCGGCTGTCCGCGACTGCTTATTCAAGATTGCCCTTGAAAATTAAATTGTTGAATACGAAGTTCGGGTGGAATCAGTTCGAAATTCTGACAGGAAATCGGACTAAGAGGCAAAATTGTTCAACCCGATTAACAAAGGGAACCCTGAAAATGTTTATTTCGTGATTATTTATCGAGTTACACAGAGTTCATTCAGGACAACTGACTAATCAACAGAGTCTGGAAATTCCACTTCTTGTTTCCATTACAAACATTTTAACAAATGATCTTCGGGGGGGGAACTAGTTATGTGTAAAAGAAAATAGCCAGAGACCGCCACGGGCAAGACTTTTCTTGCTAGACCAGGTCTGGCGCCCACCCAGTCTCCTAGTCAATTGATACCGGGGGCGACTTCACCAGAGATAAAGGGCAATAAAGAGGCAGGGGCGTGAAGTTGATCACTCATCTTCATATAGTGCCGAGGTCAACAATGGTGTAGCTGTATTTCCACCCCGCTATGTTTTCATTGCATAATGGTTAATTAATTAAGCAGAGAGACAACTTTACCTTATTCCTGAAGTCACACACTGCTAAATAAGTTCAGGACAATATAACTTCTTTTAATCTATGTACGTAACATGTAAACAAATAATATAGACCGGTTCAATGTTTCGATTACAGAATGAACAGAAAACACGCACGGTGTTCAGTTTCTACTAAGACATGATCACGTTATGTCATAATTATTTTACGACAGCAACTGAAAGCTTGTGAGAAGAGCCTTTCGAGAGCTTTCAATGGTATAACGTCACCCGTATAAATAGAGATGACACAAAGAACAGTTTTATATTATTACGAAACATTATAATATACAAAAATATGAATTTCTTAAGTATAGAATGTACTTACCTTTACCCAGATGTTTGTCACTCATTCTTCTGCAACTAACAATTACAATAATATGACTAGACGTATTCTTCAGCTGCCACACGAAACCATCAAAACGTCTACACTCCCTGGCCGCACAGCTGTTGTCAGAGAGTATTTCATCAAGGCCACAATGTTCTATCGCAGCGCAGTTAACGGCAATTCTGTGAATTACATATACGTATCTGGACGCATTATCTACAATAACTTTTTGATAAAATATGCAAGAACGTCATTATTCATCAGTACTAACGTATTATAATTAAATAAAACGAGGACTATAGAGTCTTTTGACCGCATTTATGTAATATTTGAGACTGAACTGTCGAAGCTGGTCTTGTAGTTTATAAATCTGTCAAGTGATGGCACTGTATGAATGACTCGGCACTATTTCACAACGTGTAGGCCGGATGCGTATTGCCTAAGCCTTTTTTGTACTTATAATATTTTTTCTACAATAAATATTTCACATCGTTGTGCTACAGGAGTCCGGAAGAACATCCATTGCCTAGGCAGTTTTTGTATGTATGCAAAAGTAAATTTGTCCCTGTGATCAACTAATTTAACACTAAGCCATGTAGCCATATGTGAGAGTGGATGTATAGATTCACGTTTTCTTGACCTCAGCATTAGTTGAAGGTGAATGGTCAGCTTCACGCCCCGGCTGCTTTACACCGGGGAAAGGGCCCCCGGTACCCATTGGATACGAGACTGGGTGGGCCCAAGCGCCGGTCTGGACCACATGGAGAAGTGAAAATTGTTGCCAACACCGGGACTCGTACTCCAACCCTATGGTTATCCAGCCCGTAGCCAGTAGCTATACCGACTGCACTATCCCGACTCTATTGTATATGCGTTTGTTTTTAAAATAAATAAATTCTCAACCACTGGTCGATGGGCAATTACGAAAAAATGGTGGCTCGCGGAGGGGTTCGAAGTGAAGAGTGAAAAAGAAAGCTTGAATTTGTTACAATCCAGAAACTAAATACACGTACATACTATAAAGAAGAAAATACTTGCTTCGATAGAAGGATAGTCTGTGTCATTATTAGGGACCGGATTTTAATGCAAATGCATATTTCTTTCTTGCAACCAGAAAGTATGCTCGTTTGGATATATGTATGAATTACATACATATGTATGAATTTCTTAAATTTTTGACATGGTTTGATGGTGCATATAAATGCATATTTTGCCTGTTTTATGAATAAGCATCATATTTTCGAAGATCTCTATTTATACTGCACATTTCCTTTATAAAATGTTTATCTTATATATTTTTTAATTTTATGTGCAAATTTTCAATCATGGTCGTGTGTATACAATTTTTCTTTTCCATATTAGAATATGTTGCATATTTTACCCAACATTTCGTCATGATTCATGTTTCTGATTCAATATCCAGGACGGGACTTCCCCGATCCCTCTAATCGTAACTTGCCTCATCCGCGTACCATCAAAGTGGCCGCGAAGGGATTAGTCGGGAGCGTTCACACGTAGCCGCTATCAACGTAATACTATTCAACCGATAAGAGACTTCACTTATTTGTTTCCGAAGTCTCCATGAAGTTCGTTACGCTTCTTCATTTGAAGCTGGGGGCCATTCACATTAGTGGTGACTAGTCTGTAGTTAAGTTTGTTTAACTTTTTTTAGTCATGCCGAAAGTGAAAGTAAGTCAGAAAACTAAATTACAGCTGTATCCGCGGGAGTTCGAAGGAGAGATGATAAATACGGATAACGAAATTCTTTATTGCCGAGCATGTGAGAAAACAGTTGGTTGTGAAAACGCTTTCAAGTGTTTCAGTGTTTGAACACTAATATACACAAAGAGATTTCATCATTCATTCATCGGTAATCTGTCAGACGACAGGTCCACAGTCTCTTCCAAAACAGTTCCTCCACTTAATGTGATCACAAACTTTCTCCTTCAAATGAAAATATCCTCTTCTGTCCCCAAGGTCATCCAGCATCTTCTTATGTCTTCTTCCTCGTCTTCTGGCCACTTCTATCCTCCCTTCTGGTTTGTTTTGTCTCCAGAGGAAACATCTCGCATACATGGTATCTCTGTTTTTGGAAAGAGACTATCCAGGAAAAGTGATAATGTGGTAGTTTTTCCATTTTCTTTCCACATCGCAGTACAACAGCCGTTCAAACCACTCGGGCCACGCCTGTTGCTATACGAACTTGAACCATCTTGAGCATCATTTGCTCTGTGCTTCAAGTCGCTGCTGATGACGCTGCTTCCGGCATCAGTTTTTGGTTTTTTGGTGTCTCTCTTCGTCTGATGCCTACCCTTTGACCTGTCCAGCAAGGGAGGTCCTGCCAGTAGCTACGCTACCGCTGGTATAGCTCTCAGGGTCCTTGGCATACTCGAAACACCTCACCACGATAAGGTGGAGACACCAATGAGGGGGACAAAGAGAATATGAAAATTAAATCCACGAAAAGTACTCCTGTTCAAAAATTGCTTAGTGAATTTTCTAATAGTAGTTTTTCACATTTTTTCTTGATTTATGCGAAGCCTTTTTAGCGGCAGATATTCCGCTGTGGAAACTAACCAATCCTACTCTGAGAAACTTCATAGAGGAATATACACAGTGCAAAGTGCCGGATGAATCTACTGTGAGCAAAAATTACGTGAAGCAGTGTTACGATCTGACAATTGAAAGCATTAGATATAAGATTCAAGATAATTTTGTGCGGGTATCAATCGACGAAACACAAGATTGTGAGGAACGTTTTATTGCAAATTGTATAGTTGGATCCCTTAATAAGAATGAACAATCTACCCCATATCTTCTTGCGGTAGAGCAATTTGAAACCACAAATAGCCCCGCAGTTTCCGAATTTTTTATCAATTCCATAAACTTACTATGGCCGAATGGCATTCAGTATGAGCGCGTATTGCTCTTTGTGACTGATTCCGCAAGTTATATGATGAACTCCGGTACTGCTCTTAAAGTTATATTTCCAAATATGACACATTTGACTTGCTTTGCCCATGGGTTGCACCGTGTTGCAGAAACAATTCGTGCAAATTTTCCGCATGTTGACAAGTTGGTGTCTTCTGTGAGGAAGGTATTTGTTAAAGCGCCATACAGAAAAGAAGCCTTTAAAGCAGTAGCACCGAGCATTCCACTTCCGCCAGAACCAATTTTAACGCGCTGGGGCACGTGGCTGTGTGCAGCGAGTTATTATACCGAACATTTATAAACAATTAGGAATGTCGTGAATACATTTGATTTCAAAAGTGCAGCATCAATTCAAATTGCCCAAGATGTACTAAAAACGCAGAACTATAAACTAGTCTTTCCTATATACCTGCTCACTTCCCTCATCTTCCATCCGCCATTTCCTCACTGGAGGCAAGCAATAGCAATACTACTTTGTTTCTTCCTTTATTGACAATCAGATACTACAATCTTTTAGTCAATTTGCTGTCTTGTGTACAGTTAGTTAAGAATTGTACACTTCAGTGGCTTGAGTGGGTCACTTCCATCGACGCGTCCCTCAGCTTTTTAGGTCTTCTGGCCACTTTCGTCCAAATCTTCTGTGGTCCTGTTGCAGTAAAAGTGGCTGGAGCAGTGGGTTTGGGTGGTTAGCTATTTGCTGAAGTGGTTGATGCTGTCTTCTTTGATGACTTCTGTGACGTATGGCGTTTTGAGGTCGGTGTGAATGGTGTGGTTAGACACGTACCGTGGTGCGTTTAAGATGAGACGAAGAATTTTTTATTGAGTTCGTTGAATGAGATCTATATTTGTTTTGCTGGCGCATCCCCAGAGTTGGGTTCCGTATGTCCATATTGGTTTGATGACTGCTTTGTATATTAGCGACTTGTTGTCAATGGATAGGTGAGATTTTTCCTATGAGCCAGTATAGGTCTTTGATTTTTTGATCCATTTGTTTCCTTTTCGTGAGGATGTGTTGTTTCCAGTTGCTCTTGCTGTCAAAGTTAAGGCCGAGATACTTGGCTTGATCTTTTTGTTGGATGGTAGTGTGGTTTATTTGAATCGAGGGGCGTTTGCCTTTTCGAAGCGTGAACGTTGTTTGAATGGATTTTGTTTCATTAACCTTGATTTTCCATTTTTAGCCATTTTTCTGAGTATGAGGTGGTCCTGTAGGTTAGTTGCTGCTGTGGTGGGATTATCGTGTGTGGCGAAGATAGTCGTGTCGTCGGCAAATGTTCCTATGAGTTTCTTGTGGGATGTGGGGAGGTCGTGGGTGTAGAGCGTGTAGAGGAAGGGACTGAGCA